GTCACACCCAGCTGGTCCTTCTCAGGGTGAACCTTCCAGTCCTGAGGCTCCCTGAGAGAAGCTGGGGTCTGGATGGACCTGTGAATAATGTGATGGAGACCTCCCATCCCCTCACCAGGCTCCTAAAGTGTCTATTTCTGGCTTTCGCTGCATTTCACCGTGTCGACATGTTGGATCTTCATTATTCAGTTCAATATTTTCTAATATCCTGTGAGGCTTTCTTTTCTTTGACCCAAGGGTTATTTAGAATTGTATTGCTTAATGGTCAAACAATGGAGGGATTTTGTGGGGTTTTGTTTATTTGTTTTGTATTGATGTATAGCTTAATTCTACTATGGTCAGAGAACATATGTCTTAAGATTTTAATTTTAAATGGAAATTTGTTAGAGTTTGCTTTATGACCAGCCTATGGCTAATTTTAGTAAGTGTTCTATGTACACTTTAAAGGGATGTGTATGATATGTATTTTTCCCTCTCAGTACCTGATAGAACAAGCAAACCAAAATTTTTTATTTTTGTATTTTTTAATCTCTCTGTGTCTTTTTATTTAAAGGTAGCTCAGTCAACAGAATATAATTTTAAAAAAATCTGTCCTGACAATTGTATTGTTTTACTTGGAGTATTTAGTCCATACTAATTGAGTTGGGCTTTTAGCTACACTCTTAAATATCAGTTTTCATTTGAGCTAACTTTCCTTTGCTCTGTTTTTCCTCCTTAATTGCCTTCTATTGGGTTAATAAAAATATTTGAAATTTATTTGTCTTGCTAATAACTTGTTAGTTATATATTATTTTTTGTTTTAGTTTTTTAAAATAATTAATCTAGCAATTGAAACAGGTATCCTTGACAATCTAATAGAAAGTATTACTTTTCTACTTTCTCGATAACGTCAAGACCTTAGAACCTCGTCTTTGGCTTCCTTCATTTCTGTTGAGAAATCGATTGTCAATCTGACTTTGTTTCTTTTTCCATAAAAGGCCTGAGAAATCATTTGGTCTGGCCCTGCCAAGGCATTAGAGATGAGTTAATTAAATGTTTGACCAAATATAGCAGGCTAATTTCTAAGCTGATAATTTTGTATGGCCTGTAAATGATGTTATAAGCATCCAAACGGCCCTTGGCAGAAAAAAAGGTTGCCCACCCCTGCTTTAAAGGTTGTATGTCTTTTTTTCTCTGTCTGCTTTTAAGATATTTCTCTTCATCTTTGGTATCAGCAGTCTTATTGTGATCTGGCTTGGTGTAGTTTTCTTTGTATTTATCTTCCTTTGTGTTTGCACAGCTTCTTGAAGATGGATTGTGAGGCTTCAGCAGTTTTAGACAATAAATGGCCATTATCTTTCTAAGTATTGCTTTCCCCCATTCCATCCCTTCTCTTCTTATGATCCAATTACATGCATGTTGGACCATTTCATGGTGTCCCAGATTTCTCTGACTCCCATTTCGATGTTTTTCATTCTTTTTCCTGTGTTCTTTAACTTTCTAATGATCTGTCATCCAGTTCATAAACACAGTCTTTCTCTGGGTCTAATGAGAGAGAGAGAGAGAGGGAGATGGAGAGAGAAATACATCGATATGGGAGTGGAACATCCATGGGCTGCCTCCTGTATGCACCCTACCAGGGATTGAGCCTGCAACCCGGGCATGTGCTCTGCCCGCGAATTGAACCAGCAACCTTTCAGTGTACGGGACAACACCCATCCAACCGGACACGACATCTCTTTAGTTCTTAATTTTAGTTATTGTGTTTTCAGTTTTAGAATTTCCATTTGATTCTTTTTTTTAATATAGTTTCAAATCCTCTTGCTAATAAATTCTCTATTTTGCCATGTATTTTCTTCATTATTTTTTCTCTCTCATTTTGAACATGTAAATCATGGTTATTTCAAAGTCCTCGGGTAGCTCCTGGGTCTGGATCATGTGTAGGTATGTTTCTTTTTTCGCTTTGTGTTTTTCTTTCCTCCCCTCACCCCCAATTTGTTTTGAATCATGTAGTCCCGTCACTTTTCATGCCTTGTAACTTTTGCTGTAAGGCCAGACATTACCCATTAAAACACTGCAGAGGTTCCAGGTGGTGCACCTCTTCTCTTCCAGGAAAACAGAGTGGAGGGTCGTCTCTAAATCAGTCAGAGACGGCTGAGTCGGGCACCTCTGCAGTTTGGATACGGCTCACCTTACCTATGGTTCTGCCCTGTGCCTCCCGGGGCTTTCAGATCTGGCCTGGTGTGATCACCAGGGCCCCTCCTCCGCTGGATCCTGATTTCTGATCTCTTCTCCTTAGCACCTGAGACCATAGGAGACAACTCTTTGATTTTCAGAGGTTTTCTGCTTGAGTATTTAAATTTCTATTCCTCATACCTTCTGAGCTTGGCATGTGTCTTAAGGGGAGAAGTGGACATTTGTTTGGCGTCATTCTCTACTTCTTTCTCCTGGGATCTTGGCCTCTCAAGTTTGTTTCTCTTGACCAAAGGCCCTGCAGGTTCCTCCATCCCTCAGCAACAGCCCTCTGCCTGGGAAGACTGCAGATTCCCAGCCTCTCGCCTGGTGACCAGAATGCAAATATGCTCCCAGGGAAAGTGCTGTGGAATGTCAAGTCATCTCCTGCCCTGGCAGTCCCCCGTCTCCGGAATCTTGGGCTGCTAGTCTGCATAGCTTCAGTAGCTCATTGATTCCTCAAAACAGATTTAAAATTTTTATTCAGCTTCTCTAGTTGCTCTTGATGATGGGGTCCCCCCAGAGGGCTTGGCCAGAGGTCCCCACCCTGTCCTCACAGAGAGGAGGCTGGGGCACTGCTGGAAGGGGTCTCTGGGCCGGATTCTCCTGAGGGTGCTGATGACAGGTAGGGAGGGTGAGGCAGAAGATTCCCTTTCAGGCTCAGCCTGGGCAGCGGGGAGCTCAGGCAGCGTATCGCCTGGTCTTCAGCAGTGGCAGCTTTGGTGAAAAGATTTCCATATCTTTGTGATTCCCCTGAATCGCCTTCCCCACCAGGTGGGGTTTGAAGCTCTGCACTGGCCCAGCATCATGGGACATCCCTCATGCCTGTGACTGCACTGTTGCCCACAGTGACAGTCCTCATGCTCTGTCCTCGAGCCGGGTGGCACTGTGCCTCCCGTCCCCGCACCTCCCCAGAGCCCCCCAGGTGCTTCCCCTCTCTACTCCTGCCCTGATCTGGGCACATGGGGACTTGACCACAGTCTACTGTACTGGGTGAAGCTCACTCTTCCCTTGCTGGCATTCAAGGCCTACTGGAGCCAAGGGTCCGGTGACGGCTGGTGCAGGACAAGGGCTGCCACCAACAGGAGCGCCTGCCCACCTCAGCCTGCCCCTCTGCCCAGGGTTCTCTCTGGGTGCCTCAGTCGGGCACTGTCCTACCTGTTGGCCAGGCAGTGGGGTGCCCAAGGGCCATGCCCCTGCAGAGGGAAGGATGGGGTGTCATGTGGGACCCCCTCACCGAGCCCAGACCTTGCTGCTCCCTGAGTCCCATCTCCCTAGTCTGGGACACTCCCACAGGGAAGACCTGGTCCCACCTCCCCTCCTGTCTGGTCCAAGTCTTGCTGCAGGCACTGCTTTGTCCACTCACCTCTGGCCTGTGGGCTTTTAGCGCCCAGGTACAGTCCTCTCGAACTGCACAGTCCTGGCGCAGAGCCCACCACAGGCCTGTGTCCTTAAGGGGAGTTTTTTCCTCAGTGTGAGTGAAGGTGACCTTCAAGTGGATGTAAAGGTCACCTTCACACTCACGGGGATTGTCACAGAGCAGGCCCTGTGGAGTCTTGGCTGCACTGCAGCAGCTCACTCCCCAGCATCCTTCGCTGATTCATGGGTGTGGTAACGTTTCTTGCTGAGGATATTAATTATAAGGTATTTAAAAATATTTTCTTCTCTTCCCTGTATTGTCTCTTTCTGCTGTGTGCCTTTTTTGTATGTTCTAGTCTCTGCATTTCTTGCTAGAGGGTGTGGTCCCAGTCAGTTTCCCCAGCTAAGCACCCTGCGCTCTCCCATGGCAGCCAGCACACTGGGCGCGCAGCAGCAGCAGGAGTAGCTGGGGTCCCACTGCTGGACATTTTGAGTGCAGTTCACACCTCTTTTTAGTATGTGCTTCACACCCACCCTCATCTGGTGCTCAGACCCCTTCTTTAGGCTGGACAGAGCCTCTGGCGTCTGCCTGGTGGGGAAAGTGCTGGTGGGGGGCAGGGTTTTCGATATTCACAGGGTGGGGGTCTGAGGGTCTTCATTAGTCTGCTAGGGCTGCTGTAACAAAGTACCACCGATGGTGTACCTTAGACAACAAAAATTCGTTGTCTCACAGTCTGGAGGCGCGAAGTCCAAGATCAAGGTATCGGCAGGACTGGTTCCTCCTGAGGCTGGTGGGAGAATGGGCCCCAGGGCTCCCCAGCTCCTGGTGGCTACTGTCAATCTTTGGTGTTTCTGGTCTTGTGGATGCATTACCATCTCCGCCTCCTTCTTCACCGGACATCCTCCCTGCAAGTGTCTGTGGTCAAATGTTCCTTATTATGAGGACACCAGTCATATTGTGTTAGGGGCCCACCCGACTCCAGTGTGACCTCATTTTAACCAGTTACATCGGCAAGGACCCTAATTCCAAATAAGGCCACGTTCCGAGGTCCTGGGGGTTAGGGCTTCCACATGTGCGTTTGGAGGACATAGTTCAACCCACAACAGGGTCTAATGCTCCCTCCGGTGACTTTCCACAGATGTGTGTTTTTGGTGTCGCCCAGACACTGGCCTTCAGGAGAACCTGAGCCTTTCTGGGTCCCACAGCAAAGTGGCTGTTTCTTGTTAGGCGTCACGCCTCCCATTGACTTCCTTTTCTAAACTTCGTGGCGTTTCTCCCCTGCAGCTGCCCCTCCAATCCTGTCCTGTGGGCTGGAACCCGGTGCAGGTGTCACTTAGGGTTTGGTGGGAAGTGGGTTCAATTGCCAACCAGAAACACCTCTCTGCCTTTTTAGATATTGTTTCCAGTTCACATCTCCCTTTTCCCCAAGGTGTCTCCTGCTCTCCCTGGGGCTCTCGCCACTGCCAGGAGTGACCCACGAAGGTTGCAGAGATGGCCGGGGCCTCAGTGAAGGTGGCGGTGCGCGTCCGCCCCTTCAATTCCCGGGAAATGAGCCGTGACTCCAAGTGCATCATCCAGATGTCCGGAAGCACCACCAGTGAGTATGGGCTGCGATGGATTGTTGGCTGCTGCTGGTGCTAGGCCATGAGTCCTGTCTCCTGGCCAGAGGTAGCAGCTGATCTGGCCTGGCTCGCTCTTGCTTCTCGTCCACACAGTGTGTAGGTTTCCTGGGGCTGCAGTAATAGATGACCACAAACTGTGTGGCTGAAAACAACAGAAATGCATTCTCTCACAGTTCTAAAGGCCAGAGTCCGAAATCAAGGTGTTGATGGGGCTGGTGTGTCCATGTCATCATGTGGCCTCCTTACGGGGACAGCGATCAATGGATTTCACACCCACCCTACTCCACTGTGACCTCATCTTGACAACTAATCGCATCTCAAAGACCCTGTTTCCAAATAAGGCCACATTCTGAGGTTCAGGGGGGACATGAATTTTAGGGGACACTGTTCCACCCATGGTTACTGATTCCTTGTCTTGCTCCAATGGCCCCAGGTTCATAAGTTATTTTCCTTTTTCTATTCTTTTGCTGTGTTTATAATTGTAAATCATCTCAGAACCTTCCGAGAAGTGGGAGGCCTGGAGTCAACATCGTGCGTAGGAGGTGGGAGGAGAGAGGCAAATTCAAGAAAGTCAGAAAGGCAGACACACCCTGAGGGGTCCTTAGCAGACAGGGTCCGGCTGCGGAGCGGAGAGAGGATGCCTCCCAGACCCCCTTGGCTCCATTGTCACACCCATTTGTAGTGAGTTGCTGCTTGGGTGCAGATGTGGGCAGAGCTCACCGTCTGAGCGGAAGCCCTCTGTGCCCATGCGGACACTGGTAGTTGCCTCTGTCAACCTGTGCAGTCTCAATGCCTAACTCATCTGAGAAGTCAGCCCCCATTTGCCATCGCTGTTCTAGGCTCCAAATAGAGCTGCACTGGACACGGAAGAGCCCAGAAGGAAGCATGGCTGTGGCCGAGCAGGTGGTCACACTCTGCGGGCCTTTTCATTAGACGAGGGGTTGGAGACACATGATGAGGGAGGCTGGCAGGACCCTGGGCAGCAGCTCAGCCAAGGGCACGGGGACAGCAGCTAAGCCAAGGGCCCGGAACCTGCTGTCATTGGCTGGCCCCAGGCTGACATGCCCTTGGCACTCCCTGATTGAACCATCCGGGGACAGCTCAGAGGACTTGAGCTGCTTTCACCCTGGAGGCCAACCCGTTAGAGTCAAGATGGGCTCTTCACTGGCAGCGGTCACAGTGGTGACCCACATCTGCTGTCCCTGTGGTCCCACAGGAGTGAGGGCTGTCTGTTACAGCACAGGTGGGGAAACTCATCAGCCGACATTTGTGAGCGTGAGCTCGTGCCAGGCTGCACTCTAGGCACCGGGTACTCGCTGCCTCGGGCTGATGCTCGGTGGGGTGACGGATGATGCACGCATGTGCATAGTGAGACAGAACTAGACCGGCCCGTGCCACGGGCCCCGCCCCACAGGGTCAATAGGATGCAGTGACAGGGCAGGGGGACTTGCTGAGGTATATGGGGCGTGTGAGGCAAATTAGATCAACGGAAAGGAGGCTTCCTCATCAGAGGGTCTCCTGTGCTGACAGGCAAATGCCTGGGTTTGAGCTAATGCTTCGCTGGAACCCCGCTGAGGTTTTGGTCTCTGCTTCAGCTAGGCTTCCTCCTAAATCCTCTGAGTCTGGGGCAGTGACCTGGTAAAACAGCACGCATCTCTCTCTTTCTCTCTTTCTTTAGCACACACACAAACACACACACACACACACACACACACACACACGCCTATGTTTGCCAGTTTCTGTCCTGTGAACACTCCCCACAGCCGGTTTCAGGCCACCTAGGGTTTAACGACAGGCACACAGATTCCGAGCACTGGACACCGCTGTGCTGGAGGTGCCGGCGTCTCTGCCTGGGGTGCAGCTGAAGACTGCAGGGCATGCAGGCAGACAGTGGCTGCCGTTGACTCCTTTCCTCCTGGTCTCGCCTCCCGACTCAAGATGCCATCCCCACAGCTCGTGTCTTTGACCCTGGGGCACTGCCCCCTCCATGACTCCTGCAGAGCCTGGGCAGGGCTGGGGGGCGTGGGGCATTTCAGGGAGCTGTCCCCAAGCCGCCTGCCCAGTGTGCCTGGAGGGCTGTTCTCCTTCCTCTCCTCAAACGTACACAAGGAGACCCGGGACCCTGCAAGGGAAGGCTGTTCTGTCCGGCTGGCCTTGGCAGGTCACCCTGGTGAGGGCTCAGGGGCGACAGTAGAGAGCCAGGTCTGGGTGGACGCTAGGCTCCAGTCTGGCTGTGTGCCCTGTGACCCAGGGAGGGCACGACCCCTCTGACCTCAGAATCTGTAACGATAGAGGGCATTTCTCAGACACCACAGGACCTCCAGGGGGTCAGCCACACCAGGGGACCTGTCGGCAGGGCGTGGGGGCAGGTCCCGAGGGCCAGAGCAGCTCTGCCCAGTGGTCTCCACGGCAGGTTCTCCTTAGCACGTACCCCTCCCTCTCACCTGTCAGCTGTCCCAGACCACCCACAGTTCCTTGAGCACACCTGTGCCCTGGCCCTGTGCGGGTTCCCACCTCAGGGAGCTCATGGTCCATGTGGGTGTATACAAACATGCTAGCACCAGGACACCATCAGAGCAAGGTCAGTGCCTGGGGTTGGGCCAGTGTGATGTGGGTGAAGAGAACAGGATGGTTGGGGATGTGGGGATGAGGCCAGGCTGCTCAGAGAGCCCGTGTGGGGGCCAGCCAGGGATGGGAGAGCAGGTCAGGGCTGGGAACCTGGCCCACAGGCAGAGAGGGGAGGAGATGAGGTCATGGAGGTGAGGCATTGTGGTGTGAGCCAGGGACCTGGCCACTTGCTGCCAGAGGACCCAGTGGAGGCCCAGCCCAGGCTGCCCATGCCAAGAGGGCTGGTGATTGTTGTTTCTATGGCGCCCACATTATCTGCACTGGGGTTGTGGTGGCCAAGCCCCTAGGTCTCAGGAGGTGAAGCCAGGGCAGCTTGCTCTCCGCTGGGCCTGGCTCCTGGCAGCATGGATGTGACCCCCTCTTGGCTGCGAGGAGAGGGATGTGATGGTCCATCACCTTCTCCTTCTTGTAGCTTCCCAAGGGCACTGGGTCATCTCCCAGAAGCGCTCAAGCCTGGGGTCTGGAGCCCAAAGCCAGGTCAGCCCTGGGGATGGGGCTTCATTTGATGCCTGTGCTGTGAGCAGGACATTCAGCCAGGGCAAATGGCTGAGGGGCCTGCCCAGGAACCGGGCCTGGGGCAGCTGCAGGAGCCTGGCAAGCCTGAGGGGAGGTGTTGGCTTTCCAGGGCTGCCCTACAAAGTACCACACGGAGGCTTGGACATCAGGTCTGGAGGCTGGAAGTGCGAGCTTAGGTGTGGGCAGGTGGTTCCCTCAGAGGCTGTGAGGGAGAATCCGCTCCCTGCCTCTCCGGCTCCTGGCGGCCACTGCAGTCCTTGTGGTCCCTGGCGTGTAGCCGCATCGCTGCATCCTGTTCCATTTTTGCATGCCCTGCTCCCTGTGTGCATGTCTGTGTCAAATGTCCCCTTTTATAAGGAAACAGTCATGTTGGATTAGGGCCATCTGACTCCAATATGACCTCATCTTAACCAGTTACATCTGTAAGGACCCCACCTCCAAATAAGGTCATTCTGAGGTCTGGGGGTCAGGACTTCCACATATGAATTCAAGGGGTCTGCTTCTCTTGATGCTGGTGACAGGTCACTTGGTGGGGCCAGGGGTGTGGGGTCCTGAAGGCTGTGCCGTGCCCAGAAAAGTGAGGGCCCCAGCCAGTTGTTCCTGGGGAAAATCGGTGATGGTGAGCAACCATGGCCTCCATCCCCAAACATGGGGGTGGGGGAGTGGCCTCCTAGGGGTGTCTGAAGCCTTCATGACTGGGACTGGTCCGAGTTCCTGGTGGATCCCCTGGAGGGATCTGCCTCCAGCTGGGTGGGACGTTGGGGGGTCTAACAGTCCTCTATCAACATGGACATTTCGGGTTCAGACAGTGGGCAGCAGGCAGGGTGGCCTGACAGGGTTGGGGCCGAGGTCCCTCCTGCCACTGAGGACCCATTGTCTGCTGGGTTCGGAGTCTGGGAAATGCTGGGGACTGGGCCTCACAGACCTGGGGTGAAGCAGCCTTGGACTGGGGGGAGGGGTCTCCTGGCACACTTGGCAGGCGCCAGGGTGGGTGATCGCTTCACCTCGAGTTTGTGGCTTCCTTCCTAGTTTGTGAACTGATGTTCCGTGACTCGCGAGCAAGGCCTCAGCCAGGCCGGGTTGCAGCTTGGTGAGGGACCTGTGAGGGGACAGTTCTTAGAGCCATGAGCGCACACCTGGAAAGAACCTGAAAGGGCACTGATGGGAAGAGAATAAGTGTGTCTCTGTGGGGGGGTGGAGGAGGGTGGAGAAGGCAGCCAGCACTCCTGATCACAGTGGAGACGCAGCACAGCGCTAACCACCACACCTGTCCCCCTCCCCACAGCCATCGTCAACCCCAAACAGCCCAAGGAGACGCCCAAAAGCTTCAGCTTCGACTACTCCTACTGGTCACACACCTCGGTAAGCCCTGGCTGGGGGTCCACGGGAGGTGGGCCACAGCTGTGTGGACACCGCTCAGCCCCTCCTGCGGTGTGGCCCACACCCAGTCCCTCGGCCTCTCTGAGCTACATGTTCCTCTCTAAATGAGGCGATGACTACCGTATTTGCCGGCGTATAAAACGATTTTTTGGCCCTGAAAAATATGCCTCCAAGTGGGGGGTCGTCTTATACGCCAGGTACACTTCAGATAGACTGCCCATAGTGCTTGCCCCGTGCCATAGTGGCCTCCCGATGCCCGCCCACTTCATTCCACATACCGTTCAGGCATCAGCAGAGCTGCTGGGTGTATGCTCGGCTGTTATGCGATTTTGCTGTTATGCCATTTTACCACACTCGCAAAATCGCACACAGCCAACCATACACCCAGTATGGTATCGCGATTCGTGATTTTGCGCTATCATACTGGGTGTATGGTCGGCTGTGTGCGATTTTGCGAGGGTGGTAAAATCGAATAACAGCAAAATCGCATAACAGCCGCGCATACACACAGCCGCGCTGCTGATGCCTGAACGGAATGTGGAATGAAGCGG